TACAAAAAAGTTTCAGTCCACCTTATCGCTAGCAGCGATATTTCTTGAGATATTGGCGGAAAAATGTGCAGCATTGCCAGCTGTATGAAGGAAAACAAAGTGGAAAGGAATTTAAAAAAAAATCATCATGTGCTTGTTTATTGTAAAATTGGTTGATTTTACATATTTTGATGAAAATTATGGAATCTGATGCCTGTGCGATTATAGCCGCGGAGTAAAGCTGCCTTTACATGAGGCGATTTTTTGAAGGCGATAATCGCCTGCAAAAGTTGATTTGCTATCTATTTTGAGGCAAGCGATTTTTGAATCACCATTTACAAGAGCGATTTTTCTCGAGCAATGTTGAATTGCCTAGAAAATCGACTCATGTAAATCCAGCTGAAGAGCGCACTATGGCAATTGATTCGTAAAGGTATGCGGAGCTGTCGGCCATAGTAACCATGGACGCATCTACTGGTTGAATGGTTGAGCTACAGGCTATAACTCCTCCTATGCATGAAGAAATGGTTCTCAATCCATCCATGTTTGTTTTTCTCGTCCGATGTGAGGTGAAAAGTACCAAAATGGACTGCGAAAAATTATCTAATTGGGTGCAAAGCAAAAAATTTACTATAAAATTAAATTTTTAGGGCATGTCAATTAAAATTTATCAAAAATATTTCACTGCTTTCAAAATTTAAACGTAACTAGATTTTTATGTACAAATGCGGCCAGCTAATAATCTGGTTAAGTGTGCGTATCAGTTCGGATGGTGAAATTGTTCGGCCGACATCGGTCGGCCTATCAGATGCAGTGTGCGGCTAGCGTAAAAGGTATGCAACCTTTATTGTGCATATAACTCCGGCTACGCCATCCACTGTATCTTTATCATATCAACATTTACAAAAAAAAGTGCATGGTTCAAACCAAATATATTAATAAATTAGAGCTCGGAAAATTGGAACCTTTGTTTTAGATTAAAGTTCAATCCTTTGACTACACGTGTATGTTAAGGTTTTTAGATTCAGGTGATGCGTTTGGATACAACAACCCAAAACCATTATACAAATAACTAAACCGTACCCAAGTTTCTCGATAAGAGGCAACAAACATTCTTTTTTGTTCGTTAATATAAAGCAGTGGATAAATATATACGTATATGTGAAAGCCAAATTTATCTGTTTAAAACAACACCACTAATATTTCCAGCAAACACACATCGATTTACATCTTTTTGCTTAGTTTTTATATCGCTTCAGACACAGAATTGTTTTCGAACAAAATTACGCAAAAAAGCTGTAAATTTCTTACTCGTTCGTTTTTAGGCATGCCACTGTTACGAATTTCGAAAGTTCGAAAATACGATTCGGATTGCAGCTTACCATTTCTACGATTCGTAGCAAAATCCGAATACGAAAGTGTTGCAGAATAGCGATGTAAGATTATACCATAAAATGCATCTGAGCTGTAAAATTTTGAAGACAAAAGTCAAAATTTACGTGTATTTTAAACGGGAAATCTTCGCACGACCAAGGCTTAATTTTAAGGGCTCAAATTTTCTGAGATTTTTTTTTTAAGTATTTTCCACACAATAGTCGCGAAAAAAGCACCCAAATGCACACATATATGTATGTATGTAATATAAATGGTAATAAATGTTTGGTTCCTTCTTCATCGAAGTTGTCCTTTTTTTGATTTATTTTGGGCCCGAGTCATTATGGTCAACTGACAACCGTAGCTGTCTGTAGCTGAGTGCGCAAAGATGCTTGCCACGATTTGTTGATTTCCAGAGGGTCAATGTTCGAATTCCATTGCAGGAACCATGCAAATTAATTTTTTTTTTCAAGTGCAAAATGCTTTATTTTAATATGTGCGTACCTGAATTGAATATTTACTAAACAGTACTTTCGTTGGCGTTCACAGTAAGATCAAATACGTTTCTGTTTGATTTTACTATTTTTTCCCTCTGCGCCATATGTCCAAAAAGGTTTTCATGCCTGTAGACTTTTAAAAAACGAGCTTTCGTGTAAAAGTTTTGTATTCTTCTTGAACTTTTAATTACAGTTAAATATCATTATCAAAAGTTATGATTAGATGACTCTTTAAATTTTGGATATTAACCACAATAGGAGATGTAATGGTCGGTAGGTGACCACGCACCACGATCTATGGCACTCAAGCCTGGCCAATGATCGTAGGGGAAACCTTTTGGCTGAGCAAATAGACGATTCGACATTCTGCACCATGAACGATGACGCCCCCACCAGGATTATGGGTAGCTGCAGCAGCTCGCCAGACCTCACAATTGCTAGCGCTGGTTTGATCAATAGCATCTCATGGCGACCTATGCTAACACTAGCATCACACCATTTACCCATAGTCATCTCGATCAATAAGCCCACCGACTTTGCTCCCGCGGACCACCGAACCTACACCAACTTAAACAAAGCTGATTGGCACGGCTTCGCGGAAGTCACCAAGAGCAGCTTCGCCGCCCTTCTCACACCTACAAACATACACACTGGCGAACGCCAGTTCCGCAGGGTAGGCACTGCCGCAGCGGCTCGCTTCATCCCGTCCGGACGTATCGCGGAAGTCCGCCCAAATTTCCCGGCCGAAGGAGCTGTACTAGCAAATGAGCGTGACCACCTACGCAAGGTCGACCCCGGGGACCCCCGTTTGAGAGACCTTAATTTGGAGATTCGGCAACTGGTAAATCAGCATAAGCGGAAAAAGTGGGAGGAGCACTTGAAGGCCTGTAACTTCACATCTGGTGTGAGTAAGCTCTGGTCAACCGTGAGGTCCCTGTCCAACCCAACGAAGCGTGATGACAGAGTGGAAATCTCTTTCGAAGGTCACGCTTCGTCGGACCCGAAGAAATGCGCAGCCTACTTTAGTAGGCAATTTACACTGCACCCTTCGGTAGACAAGGCCAAACATCGAGTCACCAGGAGGCTGCACAAGCTGCCAAAAAACAGTGCACCACTTGTTTCCACCAGCTGTGAAGTGAAGGGGGCCATCGGGAAGGCGAAAAGCTCCAAAGCCATTGGACCCGACGGAATCTGTATGCTGATGCTATAACATTTAGGGCCTAAGGGAGTAGCTTACCTAACGGAGGTCCTCAACCTGTCCACGGCCACTCTCATCATTCCTGATGTGGGGAAATCAGGGAGAGTGGTCCCACTGCTGAAACCGGGGAAGCCCGCCAACAAAGGAGACTCTTATCGCCCGATAACGCTCCTTTCCCCGGTCGCGAAGACGCTTGAGGCCCTACTACTCCCATACTTCACTTGCCACCTGACCCCAGCGAAGCACCAGCACGGATTCCGTAAAGTGCACAGCACAACAACAGCACTTAACGCCATAAACACCCAAATAACTCGTGGCCTAAATCGAAACCGCCCCTGTGAGAGAACGGTCCTAGTAGCGCTGGACTTGTCAAAGGCGTTTGACACCGTCCGCCATTCCACGCTACTAGAAGACATCGAGGCCTCCTCACTCCCACAGGGACTGAAGTGATGGTCGGCGAATTATATGAGTGGTCGACAGTCGTCAGTAATCTTCCGAGATCAAACCTCGAAACCAAGAAGGATTAAACAAGGGGTTCCACAAGGTGGTGTTCTCTCCCCCTTACTATTTAACTTCTACATCTCGAAACTTCCTCAACCACCTGAGGGAGTTTCCCTGATCTCATACGCTGACGATTGCTCGATTTTGGCGTCCGGGAATGGAATTGATGAACTCTGCCCAAAAGTGAACGACTATCTCTCCAGCCTTTCTCGCTTCTTCACTGCAAGGAGCCTAACACTCTCCTCAACGAAATCAACGGCGACCCTCTTCACCACCTGGACGAAGGAGGTCAGTCTAGAGTTAGGTATACACGTCGATGGCACACCAATACCGACTGTAAACAACCCGAAAATTTTAGGGGTCACCTTCGATAGCCTGCTTTCCTACTCCACGCACACAACCGCAGTTGTCAATAAAGTACAGAGCCGCAACAAGGTCCTCAAGTCGCTCGCCGGCAGCACTTGGGGCAAAGACAAAGAAACGTTGCTGGCAACATACAAGGCAATTGGCCGGCCGGTTCTAAACTATGCTGCGCCAGTTTGTACGCCGGGGACTAGTTGGACGCAGTGGACGAAGCTACAGACTTGTCAGAACGCCGCACTCCGGACAGCGACTGGGTGCCTTCTGATGACGCCTGAGCACCACCTGCACAGCGAGGCCCAAGTGCTCCCCGTAAGGGAACACAACAAAATGCTCTGTAAGCAATTTCTGGTGGGGTGTCACAGAAGTGAACACCCTAACAGACCGTTGCTTCAGGAGGAGCCTCCGCCCAGGCACATCAGGGGGCACCTATTCGTGTACAAGGACGAAGTCCAACAGTATGTAGACCAACCATTGGACCCGACGACATACAGACGAGCCATCAACGACATTCATAGAGAGTCAGTCACCACCTACCTCAACTCTCGACCTATGAATGCCGTAATACAAGTCCAATCACCACCTGTGGAAGAGACGGAGCTTCAACTGCCACGAGAGACCCGCGTTACCCTGGCTCAATTACGGTCTGGATACTGTAGCCGCCTCAACAGCTACCAGTCCAGACTCGACCCCAATATCCCCAATGAGTGCCCGGCATGTGGAGAGTCCCCCACGACACCAACCACCTCTTTGCATGCCAGCTCAATCCGACTCAGCTAACACCCCTCTCCCTCTGGTCCGAACCCATCGGAACAGCTCGTTTCCTGGGCCTCCCGTTAGTTGAGCTTGACGAAAATGATTGAACGTAGACCCGAAAAAGGCGGGGCTTAGTAGTGCCTCTACAACAACAACAACAACATGTAATGGTATTTTGTGTAGCTCTCATGCTGAATAATAACTTTTGTGCATACAAATCTAAGAAGTCGCCATAAATAACAATTCAAATTGTGTGCGCACATGCTAAAAGTTTTAATTTATTTAAAAAGCGGTTTTAATGTTATTCAATAATACATTATATTTTTCCTTTGTAGCTTCCCACGTTCGCCATAACCGTAGATGGGAAATAATTAATTTTAAATTTGAGCACAATCACCTTTCAATAGTTCGTACTATAATCCATCTTTATATACGTGGTTATGATTGGACGCGTGAGCATTTTCCTGAAATTTTAGAACAAAAGACCGCCAATGGAAATATCAAAAGACGACGAGACCTCATAATTATGATCTACCAAGTCGTGCGACGATCCATTCACCAAAACCTTACACATACAATGAAGTTAGTGGAGTCCAGCCTTCGAATACCAGCGGGTTCCGGACAATGGGTGCAATTCGAAATCAAACACATGCCTGCGAACTGGCTGAATCAAAATGCTGCTAGTATGACGCTTGCAATTAAAGTCCAGGAGCCTTGGATGAGGTCCTTTTTGGTAATCGATGCGGAAGATAATCAGAATAAACAATTCGTAAGTAATAAAATCTAACGTGGTTAAACAAAACAATCAATGGTTAGGTCAGATTTTTGGTCGTAATTTACGACTTATTTGTATTTCATAAACAAATCATGCTGAAATTAAGTAATTTTTGCCGTAAATCCGAAATTCGCGAAAATTCAACCAATTTAAAAAAAAAATTGCTATCAAAATTTAAAATTTTTTAATCAGATTTTTAGGAAAGTTTTGGGCGTGCATTTTTATAGCCAATTTAATTCCAGTATAATAAGGTGGAAGTTCGAAGGTGTGCATTTTCTTCGATATAACAATACGAGTATTTTAGAACATAACGAGGGCTTATATTCAATACCCTTTATCTGCAATTTTAACAAGATTTAGCTTCTGATATAAAAATCCACTTAAGAATGAAGTGCCATAGATGCTGTTAATGCTAACCTTATAAATAGCTTGTTGGTAAAATTTACTATTGAATTGCAAAGTAAGAGTTTACATCAATTAAGTCTCAGATAAGTTTCAACATCACAAACGAGTTTTTCTGAAAATTACAAATAGAGGGTATTGAATATAAGCCCTCGATAAGTATTTTGTGTGGATGAAAATGCTAAACGCCTCCAATCGAAAAAATTCGCAAAAATCAGCGCGAATTATAAAGTACTCCAAACGTCAAATAGAACATTGCCTTTATAGTGATAATTTTTTTCAGCGCTTCCAATAGCTGCGGAAAGGTGCGCTTGATACTCAAATACTTTCTTCGGAGCTGAGTACCGAGATTTACACCCCTATTCGGCAACTCTTTCGTATTCGAATTTTGCTACGAATCGTAGAAATAGTATGCTGCAATCCGAATCGTATTTTCGAACTCTCAAAATTCGTAACAATGACATGCCTAAAAACGAACGAGTAAGAAATTGGCAGCTTTTTTGCGTAATTTTGTACGAAAACAATTCTGTGTCGTAGGCGAGATAAAATATGTAAATCGATGTGTGTTTCCAGGAAATATATGGCGTAGCCGGAGTGATATGCACTAGAACTGTTGTATACCTTTGGCATGCGGAAGCCCCTCTTCTCTGGCAACACAGGAAGGAGAATTCTACTTAGTAAAGGTTATAATCCGGAAGCGCGCCGAAGGCATTAACTGGATTGAGAACCAGTTCTTCAGGCATAAGAGGAGTTCTGGCTTGTGGTTCAACAATTCAACCAGAAGCTGACATAGATGCGCCCATGGTTACTGGGCCCGACAGCTCCGCATATCTTTGTGAAATCATTCCCATAGCGCGCTCTTACTCGCTGCTATAATTGCAAATGCAATAGAATCCATCGTTTCTTTCAAAATATGTAAAATCAAACAATTTTACTATAAATAAGCACTTGATGAGTGTTTTTTTAATTCATTTCCACTTTGTTTTCCTCCATTAAGCAGTATTCTAAAAACAACTGATAGCTGGAAATACTTCATGTTTCCGCAAGGGCTGCAACATGTGGATTATTCGTTTTTCGTAACGTAACTACGAATTACGAATTACGAAAATTCAGGTTCTAGAATAAGGGGGTTACTGAATTATATGCCCTCAAATTTCAGTGCCCTCGGAAGATCTTTAGAAGGACTATGAAACTGGACAATAACACTCTCTACTCAGCTTCTACGAACACGTATGGGTCTTTAGCACACTTTACCGTTTTTTTTGTCTTTAATTTATTTATTTAATTTAAATTGAGAAAGCATCAAAATTTTAGAAGTTGAAAATTCTACACAATTTGCAATTATTCTTAAATGAGAGCCAATCTGAAAAACCGGAGGGCATATGCGATCGCCGATATGAATATGCCCTAGAATGCCGTTTTGAATTTTTATGAAGTACATTTTTGTGGGCCTATGGTATTCGATGAATAAATACACTCAGTTGATTAATTTTAAGACTGCCACATATTAACAAGTTTTGATTATTTATTTTCACCTATTTTCTTATAAAAATGTAGTCCATTCTATAACAAACACCACACAAATCCACATTTCAAACTTTGTCCAAAAATTATTATTATATTAATTCATCGAATTTTCACCAAAGTTTTACACTTTTTTAAGAATTTTTGGTACTGTTTTGTGTACGCAGTTTTATTACTATTCGTTAATGGGAGCCTATCTGAAAAACCGGAGGGCTTATGGTATTCGATGGATAAATACACTCAGTTGATTAATTTTAAAACCGCCACATATTAACAAGTTTTGATTGTTTATTTTCATCTATTTTCTTATAAAAATATAGTTCATTCTATAACAATTACCATACAAATCCCAGTTTCAAACTTTGTGCAAAAATTATAAAAATTCAGCGAATTTTCACCAAAGTTTTACACCTTTATAAAACTGCATACGCAAAACTGTTCCAAAAATTCTGTAACATTTTGGTAGAAATTCGCTGAATTTTTATAATTTTTGCACAAAGTTTGAACAGTGGATTTGTGTGGTGTTTGTTGAAGAACGAACTATATTTTTATAAGAAAATAATCGAAATTAAATAATATTAAAAAATTGTCAAAACATGTTAATATGTATGTGGCGGTCTTAAAATTATGCAACTGAGTGTATGTCACTGAAATGAACCTAAGGTAAATGCAATTATTTTTTCTCATATAAATACCTATGTTAGAGCATTATTATAAGGATATTTCGGGGATTCCCTTAAACTTATAAAGTCTTAAACTGTGTAAAACTCGTAAGTTTACGAGGCTTTAATGGGAACGGGAAAATGTGTAAATAGGTGCGTAAAGTGACTGTTTGACAGATCAACCAGGATTTTGTGAAGCAATTTTTGTTTCGTAGTATTTCCCATAACATCACACCATCTTGTCTCTTATCACTCTTGGCTAAAATACAATTAAAAATGCTGAAAATTAGCAGAAAACCTAAGTCAGTGCAGTTAGTGGATGAAATACATTCATTTTATTCGCGTGTTATTTTTTTAATTTATTTTCATTATTTTATCATATATTTTAGTAAAGAAATTTCGGCCTCTCGGCAACACCGAGTTTTACGAGAAGGGGCTCGTAAATAGAGCTCCATACAAGTTTTGACAGTTCTTTTACGAGGCTCGTAAATTTACGATCTTTACGAGGCTTACGAGGCTTTTATGAGTTTAAAGGAAGACTCCTACTGTATTGGCAACTCAACTACATGAGTATATAATTTCTACTCTCAAAACTTTCATTTGGAAATGTAACCTTAACTTCTTATGCCAGTTCTGAAAATTATATTTTTTCTTTCGCCTAATAAAACTTGAACAAATAAGACGGCCGTTTATTTTGTCTCTTGGACTTCTATTGATATTGGTTATGGGCCCAGAACTGGCTCCATCATAGACATATATGTAATACTCCTATACTGGCAGTAAGAGCTAGTACCGTCCGAAAACACTACAGTACAGATATA